GGGGATACTGTGTGTTTTAAAGTTAGAAAGGGTGTGCATCAGGGTTGTATCTTTTCACCATATTTATTCAATCTGTAAGCTGAGCAAATAACCCAAGAAGATAGACTATATGAAGAATGCATCATCAGGATTGGAGGAAGGCTCATTAACAACCTGCGATATTCAGATGACACAACCCTGCTTGCTGAAAGTGAAGATGATTTGAAGCACTTACTGATGAAAATTAAAGACTACCGTCTGCAGTATGGATTGCACCTCACAACTGGACCAATAAGCAGCATCATATATGGAGAAAAGACTGAAATTATCAAAGATGTCATTTTACCTGCATCCACAATCAACACTCATGGAAGCAGCAGTCAAGAAATCAGATGTTGTATTGCAGTGGGCAAACTGGTACAAAAGACCTCTTTAAAGTTTTGAAGAGCAAAGAAGTAACTTTGGGGACTAAGGTGTACCTCCCCAAGCCATGGGATTTTCGGTTGCCTCATATGCATGTGAAAGCTTGGTGATGAATAAGGAAGACTGAAGAAGAGCTAATGCTTTTGAGTTGTGGTGTTGGTAAATAAAATGAAAGTACTGTCAGAAGAACTAACAAATCTGTCTTGGAAGAAGTGAAGCCAGAATGCTCCTTGGAGGTGAGAATGGCCAGACTGCATCTCACCAACTTTGGTCATGCTGTCAGAAGGGACCATCCCCTGGAGAAGGATACCATGTTTGGTAAAGTGGATGGTAAGTGAAAAAGGGGAAGACCCTCAATGAGATGGACTGACATAGTGGCTGCAATGATGGGCTCAACCATAGCAAATATTGTGAGAATGGCACAGGACTAGGCAGTGTTTCATTCTGTTGCACATAGGGTTGCTATAAGTTGGAGCAGCCTCAAGGGCACCTAACAGCTACAATAACAGCTAACAACAAACAGGTTTGTTAAGGAGAAAAGAAGTAATTTCGAAGACTAAGGCACACTTGACCCAAGCAATTGTCTTTTCAATAGCCTCATATGCATGTGAAAGCTAGACAGTGAATAAGAAGGACTGCAGAAGAAGTCCAGGTGGAATTCATTTGAATTATGGTGTTGGTGAAGAATACTGAATATATCATGGACTGCCAGTAGAACCAGGAGCTCTGGTGGTCTAGTGGTTGAAGCATTTGGCTGCTAAGCAAAAGGTTGGAGGTTCAAGCCCTACAGCCTTGGAAACACTGTAAGGCAGTTGTACTTTGTCCTATGGGGTCACTATGAGTCAGAATGGATTCCATGGAAGTGGGTTTTGGTTTTGGCCAAAAGAACAAACAAAGCTGTCTTGAAAGAAGTACAGCAGGAATGCTCCTTAGAAGTGAGAATGGCTAGATTCCTCTCTCATATTTTGGTCATGTTATCAGGAGGGACCAGTCCCTGGAGAAGGATATGATGCTTGGTAAAGTAGAGGGTCAGAGAAAAAGGGAAAAACCCTCAATGAGATGGACTGACACAGTGGCTGCTACAACGGGTTTGAGCTTAGCAACGACTGCAATAATGGCACTAAAAAAACCAAAACCAAACTCACTGCCATGGAGTCGATCTCAACTCATAGCGAGCCCTCCTTGGGTTTCCAAGGCAGTATCACTAAGGAAGTGATACTGCCCAACCTTCCTTCCGAGGAGTGGCTGGTGGGTTTGAACTACCAGCCTTCTGGTTACCAGTCAGGTGCCCTAGGCACTATGCCACCAGAGCTCCCAATAATGGCACAGGACTGGGCAATGTTTTGTTCAGTTATACAGAGAGTTGCTATGAATTGAAACCAACTTGACTGCACCTACCACCACCACCAAACAATAGCCTTTGAAAAACCCTTTTAGCCAATCACTCAGAAAGGGATCAAAACTGGAGCTCCTGGGTACAGTGGGAGAAAGATATGGAACAGAACTCAAAATCATAAAAAAAGACCAGGCTTACTAGTCTGATAACTAAAAAACAAAAACAAAACAAAAAACCAAACCCACTGCCGTCAAGTTGATTCCAACTCAGCTATCCCCATTGGGTTTCTGAGGCAATAAATCTTTATGGTTGTCCTATCTTCTTTCTGTGGAGTAGCTGGGGGGTTTGAACCAACCACCAACTTTCTGGCTAGCAGTCCAATGCCTTAGGCACTGCACCACTGGTCTGCCAGAGACTAGTGAAACCTCTGATAGGAGAGCCCCTAGTCACCCTTCGGCCTGGAATTTATCTCACTTCCTTGGCCTAACTTCCAGCCAAACAACAGACATGCCTATGAGGTGAACAATTTTATTAGGTACGTATATTCCTTAGAAACAAAACGGGTATGAATTGTTGGATGGGAAACCAATTTGCTCGGTAAACTTTCACCCAAATCACCTAAAATTAATAAACTTTTAAAAATCAGTTGCCAACATTTAAAATTCGGACTGTACAAAATTTTTATCTAAGGTTTCTTTTCTCCTCGGAGGGAAGGTTAGGCAAACTACTTCGGTAGTGATACTGCCTCGGAAACCCAAGGAGGGGTCGCTAAGAGTCGGGTCCGACTTGATGGCAAATAACAACAACAACAAGGTTTCTTTTGTAATATTGGAAGACATAATAACATTTCTTCTTCATCCCACTTGTATAATTACTTTACCCTTTTGTGCTATCTGTTTCTATTCTAAGTAGGAACAGGCAAAGAATGAATGGAGAGATAGACAGCTACATGCTCAGGCCCTGCACTGACCGAGAGATAGCTGATTAAGCACCATACTCCATCCTGAATGAACGTAGCAGGGAAAAAGAAATATTGTAGGGGCAATAGCTCATAGCATAGCTGAGCTCAAATGTGAGAGGGAAAAAAAAAAAAAAACGGTTTCAATGATCATTTATATCACTTACAGTCACATTTAAAAGCGATTATGTATAAATTTTATATATTTTCTTTACAGCATAATATATAGGAGCTCTGGTAGCATAGTGGCTAAAGCACTTGACTGCTAACCAGAAGGCTGGCAGTTCAAACCCACCAGCCACTCCTGGGAAGGAAGGTTGGGCAATCCTACTTCTGTAGTGATACTGCCTCGGAAACCCAAGGAGGGGTCGCTATGAGTCGGGGCCGACTCGACGGCACATAACAACAAAAACAACAACAACAACAACATAATATAGAGCTAAGATCCCACATTGGAGTCAGATGGTTCAGATGGTAGTACCATCAAGTTGAGTCCAATTACCCATTTCAAATCCCAGCTCTACTACCTACATACTGTGTGACCTTGAGCAAATTCCTCAACCTCTCTATGATTCACTTTTTTTTTTTTTATTGTAAACGATAAAATCATAACCAAACCAAACCACACTCACTGCCGTCAACTCAGATCTGACTCATAGCAACCCCTCCTTGGGTTTCTAAGGCAGTATCCCTGTGGAAGTAGATTGCCCAATCTTCCTTCCAAGGAATGGCTGGTGGGTTTGAACCGCCAGTCTTCTGGTTAGCAGACACTATGCCACCAGAGCTCCTACTAATATCATAAAGTTATTGTGAAATAATAACTAATAATAATAGTAAAATAATGATGTTAGTTGTATGCTGTTGTGTAGATATCAACTCAGAGAGACCTATATGACAGAGTACAACTGCCCTATAGGGTTTCCTAGGCTGAAATCTTTCCCAGAGTGTTTCTTCTGAGAAGTAGGTTTGAACCTGACTTTTAGGTTAGCAGCCCAACACTTAACCGTTGCATCACCAGGGCTCCCAATACTGCTTAACCTACTACTACTACAATCTAAATTACTACAATTAATCCTCCTCCTCGTACTACTACTTGGTATTATTACCTACAGCCTAGCAAGGACAGTCCTGAAAGTGGACTCTGACCAATGGAGCCAGTTCCAAGTGCAAAACTGAGACGAGGTGGGGCAAAGATGAAAGGGGAGAAAGCACTGAACTAGATCAGTTGGGTAGGGATGGGTAGGAAGCTGCAATTTGGAGTGGGTTCAGTGGAATCCCTACAAAGGCACCGGAATTCAGCTCTGGTACACTTTTAACACAGGGTATCTATCGCCTTTTGTTTATCTGCTTGCTTGTTTTTGTTTTTCCCTCTGAGATTAAAATAATAGAACAACTTCAATTAGTAAGAAGAACGGATTGAGTTTGGGATCATTGTACTCTGTTCTTGGGAGAATGAAGCATGTCAAAAGACATTTTTAGTGTCAGATTTTTTTAAAAAATAAATTTCCAGGGACTCTCTTGGGTAAGAACAGATTTAGACAATGCACCTGTGTCCTCTGGAAAACCTAACAATAAACTTCTCTCACATATTAATATAAATGCTACAGAGTCGCAATGAAGACTAGTTTCAGTAACCAAACGATCACAATATCTTGATTTTGAGTCTCAAGTCAATTTTACCATGATGGCTGGACCTTAGAAGTGATTCGTTGTCCAAATCCCTCATTTAACAGGATAGGAAAGCAAGGTCCAGGGAAGTTAAATGACTTGTCCGAGTTTCACCGAAATTTTTATGTTCAGCCAAGTTTTATTCCGAGGATATCGATAGCTTAATCAATGCCAGTAAATGCTGATCATTAAGCTGTTACCAGAAGAAAGAAAAAAGAAAGAAAGAAAAGAATGGACGGGGGTGGGGTGGAGCGAGGACCGAGAAGCACAGGCAAGCGAAAGGCTCTGGGATAGAATGTGGTCATTCCCATTATTTTTCGGGGAGCCGTTGGCATGTATGAATCGGCAGATCCCCGGATAGTGTAGACACTCTTGACAGCCTCCCAGTTACTATTCACACCCACGTAGACACAAACATCCCTTCCCCAGCGCCACACCGCGCGGAGCTGGAAGCCAAGTGCGTGGCCTACGAGCACCTTCAGCCGCGCGGATCGTTACCTTTTCGGGCTGCGATTAGGTAGCCGAGGAACAGCAGAGCCCCAACCTGGAAGGGACAGAGAAGTTCGCGGGTTCAGGCTCCCGGTCTCGCAGAGTCCGAGGTGAAGTTTAGCACTTGTTGAACGCAGCGCCTTTTACCTGTTTGTGTGTCTCTCATGCCAATCACCCGAAGGTCAGATACCGAAAGCAAGCCTAGCTTGTGGCTTGCGCCGAGTTCCGAGCGTGCAGCTGGGGGCGCCGCGTCGCCTTGGAGACAGAACCTCGCGCAGGCGGAGCCCAGGGAGTGGCGGGGAGGTGGGGCCCGGGCCGGCGGAGCCCGCACGGCCGCCGAACGCAAGGGGCCGCACAAAAGGGGCGGGGTGAGCCGGGCCAGCGGCGGAGGGGCGGGGCGGAGGGGGCGCGGAGCGGGCGGGGCGAGCCCCGGGAGTAGCGTCAGGGCGGGGCAAGACTTTCCGGCCTGGAAGAGCTGCGCGGCCCTGGCGGTCTCGCGGTGCAGAGACTTAGGGACATAGATCCTGGGACGCACGTCCGCAGGCGCGCCGATTACCTCGAGAACGACTGAAGGGAAGGGGTTTGGATTGTCCATGTCCGTACCTGCTCCTGTTAGCGAGGAGAGAGGCAGGGGCGGGTTGCCTCGCTAGTGTTTGAAACTTGTAAAGAGAGAAGCCTGCGTCAGGGGAAGATGTCCTAGAATGTGGACGAACGAATGTCCCCTACAGGGCTGGGCTCCTCAACCTGACGTAGTTTCAAGAGGATCGTGAATTTCCTAGGACAGTCTCTTGACACCAGTTTTCCCAGAAATCAGTTTCGAGTGATTAGGACCACAGAACCTCCTCTTCCATTAGCTCGGGAAGAGTACAGGTTCCCTTTTGCGGGAAGACTGCTAATAGCTGGTTAAGGAAGTGAAATTGACATCGGCCAATGACCGCTACGGTTGCTTAAATAAATTGTTTTGGTCACAGAAGGTGGCGCGGGGGAGAGCTTTTCTATTCAGAAAATTCGATTTGTCCCTCAAGCTTGACTTCCAGAAAGGAATTTGTTGCTGGGGGTGTGTGTAAGTCACCGGAATGGATTTGTTGCTAGGTAACGTTTTGTTTGGAGCCCTTTAGTTGAAATCAAATCTGGATTCGAATTTCACACAGTAGCCTCGTGATATAAAGTGTAATCTCTAATATCTCTGGAAGTTAGGTATTCTATGGGGGAAAATATGTCCCTTTGTGAATGATTGTGAGCTGCAAATGACATAAGATACGTAAAATACTGACAGGTAGAAAATGCTTGATGGTTAATAAATAAAATAATAATTGTTATTATTACTATAAAAATGCAAGCGGCTGGACCATTTCAGGGACCAAAAGTATACAGAGAGCCAGTTACTTTTAAATTCTCTTAATCATTTGTCCACATTCACTACTTCTCCCAAGAACCCTGGATGATAGTAAGGAAGCAATGGAAAAGTCAGAATGGAAGTGTTTTTATGAACACAAGAAGTCATTGATTAAACACATCCCTAGAGACTGAACTTAACATCAACAGCAACAAAGTTTGATAAAGACACACCAAACTGCTACCTCCTTAGCTTATGCCTTAAGCTTGACCGAAGACTTTAAGTCCAAGCAAGACAAAGAGAAATTCATTATATATTTTTTCAACACTTTGAAAACATTAGTTTTGATGTATTTGTTTAGTATTTACATATGGGTAACATCTGAGTGGACATCCCCATTTTCATGTCCACTGCGAGGAAACGTAAGAAAACCCCAAATGTAACTGATGAAACCTCCTCTTCCTATCCCTCTTCCCTACAACAGAAGGACAGAGAGTCAAATGAAGACCTTACATCCATTTTTAAAATAAAGTGTTTTCACTGTTTATTGCTCTGAAACATGGGGCAAAATGGATCAATGGCGGAGCGGTTAATACAGGCCTGACTTCCACCTCGGACCTCAAGACCCTCAAATGCAAAACGGGAATAGTATTTTCTACACACCACATTCCTCCATTATTCAGAATGTGAAATGAAAGAAAAGAAGTAATACTTTGGGTACAGAGCCTGGCACATGACAATTCATCAATAAAAACCATTATTATTAAAAATCCAAACTCACTGTATGGAGTTGGAGCCGACTCATAGTGACCCCTCCTTGGGTTTCCGAGGTTGCATCACTACCAAAGTAGATTGCCCAACCTTCCTTCTGAGGAGTGGCTGGTGGGTTGGAACCGCAGGCCTTCTGGTTAGCAGTCAAATGCCTTAGGCACTATACCACCAGGGCTCCTAACTGTTATTATTACTACTAATATAATACATATATGAATAAATGGAGTCCTTAGTTGGCACAAAGAGTTAAGCTCTTGACTACTAGCCAAAAGGTTGGCAGTTCAAATACACCCAGAAGCGCCTCCAAAGACAGGCCTGGTGATCTGCTTCAGAAAGGCCACAGCCGTGAACACCCTATGAAATAATTATATTCTGAACACCTGGGGACACCAGAAATCAGAATCCACTGGTGGAGGGCAACTAACAAAAATAATAAGAATGTGAATAAAAGTAGCTACTTTCAAGATAGCAGTAAGGATTAATAAAGATAATTTAGATAAAGTGTCTAGCCCAATGCCTAGTTGAACCCATTTTGGTTGTTTTATTTCTCTCTGATGAAAAACATTACATCTTTACTTGTTCAACTTTAGACATAATTTACCTATCTCAGTAAGTTTTGTACAGGATTGGTATCATACTCAAAAGCAGAGAACAGCCTAGAGCACTGTGCATTCAAAGCAGTGAATAAATTATCAAGAACGTCTAGTAAGGGTTTGTTCTGGCAAAGTGAAGGGGAAAGGCCATACACTGTTGTTGTCGTTTGGTTCCATTGAGTCAGCTCCGCCTTGTAGCCACACAACAGAACAAAACACTGTCTGGTCCTGTGCAGTAAGGATCCTTGCTGTGCTTGAGCCCATCATCACACTGTGTCAATCTACCTCGTGGGGGATCTTCCCATTTTTCGCTGACTCTCTAGCAAGCGTGATAGATCTCCTTCTCCAGGGAATAGCAGTGCCTTCTGACAACATGACCAAAGTAGGTGAAACAAAGTCTGGCTATTCTGGATTCTAAAGAGCATTCTGGCTGCATCTCTCCTAGAAGAGATATGTTCCTTTTTCTGGCAGTCCATGGTGTTTTCAGTATTCTTTGCCAACACACAACTCAAAGGCATCTGCTCTTCTTTGGTCTTCCTTATTCATTGTTCAGCTTTCACAAACATATGAGGCGAATTGAAAACACCGTGGCTAAAAATATCAAGGCCATGCATACTTCTACCACCCTGTTTTAAACTCCATGATTTTTAATGCATAATTTTGTATTATAGATCTGAATGTTAGCAGATCATATAAAAATGTATAAATAACATTTGTTGTTATGTGCCGTCGAGTCGGCCCCGACTCATAGCGACCCCTCCTTGGGTTTCCGAGGCAGTATCACTACGGAAGTAGGATTGCCCAACCTTCCTTCTGAGGAGTGGCTGGTGGGTTTGAACCGCCAGCCCTCTGGATAGCAGTCAAGTGCTTTTAGCCACTATGCTACCAGAGCTCCTAAATAACATTTAGTGTTTCTGTAATTATAAAAGTAATATATACTCATGATAGACAATTTGTAACATACAGAGAAACACAAAGAAAGAATGAAACCCCTCTTAATTCCACCAAGTAAAAACCAAGTACCAACCTCGGTCAATAGTTTTTTTTTCTTCTAGCTTTTTTGTATGCCCATATATATTTACTTTATAAAACGTGTATTAGATGGTGTATGTGTAGTTAGCATCCCTTTTTGGTTAGCATTCTCTCTTAAACATTCTCCCAATGCCTTTAAAAGGTCTTCTGGATAGTTTTAGTGGCCATATAATATGTATAAACCACCCTTTATCCTTAACTAGTCTTCAATTTGGAAATTTCCAATTTTTCTATTTTAATTCACTGTTTCAAAAAGATTTATTTAGTGCTTACAATATGCTAGGCATAAGACTTCTTAAGTGATGAACAGTAACTGGGAAAAAAAAAAAAGGTTTCAATAAACATCTTTGTAAATAAATCTTTGATAGCATCTGTTCTTCTTAGATTGAATTCCTAGGACTATAAAAACATAACTTCAAAAAGCATTCTTCTGGCTTCAAAGGCAAACTTGAGAAATTAAATTTCTGAACTGTAAAACATTAACTTTTTGGAAAACTACCAACAAGTGAATTAATATTTATTTTGTGCAAAGTGAGAACTTACCCAAAAGATGCTTTCTCATTAGTTACTCTGAAACACCAAGGGTATTTGAAGTGTATTGACTTTGGCTTTTACCTCCAATTCTTTCCAGGATTTGCTGGTTTTCTAAAGTGTGTGAGATTGTTTGAAGTCTATGCAAATTGCCCCACTTCCTCCTCTTATGGTTAAAATGTTAACTATTTTATTTCCAGCTTTCTTCTTGTAAACATACCCCTAAGGTTTGACATTTCTTTGCTTTACCTTCCTGTGTGAAACACTTTGTAATTTCACACTTTTTAACCTCAAGCCATGTTTTTTTTCTTCTAAACCTAAGTATGAGAATATACACATTCTCATAAGGCCCTGGACTTAGTATGTTCTATAATTAATTTTGGTTAAGAAACATCATGTAAATTAATCAATGTGTTTAGGGAATTGTGTAATAGAGATTGTTTATTAAGAGCAATAACTACACCCAACACATACACACACCCTTCTGTTCTTTGACAATTGCATTTTCATATATTAAATTGAACCATGTGAAATTGGCATTTGGTGAACCTCAATGTTCAAATAATGGTAACTTCATATGGTTCTACCTATAAAGATATTTCATTAACTACTTTATCATTTTTTTCAGCTTTCTACAAATATTTTACTTCCTGATTACCATATTAAGGGTATCGTTCATCATTGCACAAGATTGTGTTGGCTTAGACTTCTATAAATTTTGAAATTGAGTCAGGAGGGTGCCACAAAATATTTGTTTATTAGTGCAGAGACAGTAGAGGGAGCCTGGAGCCAAATCTTTGTTATTGTAGGCCTCTTGTAAATCATGCTTGTCTTCGCATTCTTGATATATGTATGAATTTAAATACTAGTATACATGTTAAATAGCAGGGTTTGTTTTTTTTTTTTTTTTGGAAGATGTTTTATGGTTAAATAATAACTTTAATAACATGGGAAGGAGAAAGTTGGCTGCATGTTCAGGCTGGACCTCACCAGGATTTATACTGGCACCAACCTGAATACTGTTGTTCTCTGTTCTTCTCCAAGTCAGGCTAGGGAAGGGCACACTCATACTGACACATGCGTACTCTACAATTTGCCCCTTTCCAACCCATCCTTCCATTGTCATGGGCATTACATGATGGTTCTTTATTTCAATAGAACTTCAAATATGTTACCATTTCCAATGTTATGTATTAATTTAAAATGATTGTAGTTTAGTGGATTGCTTCCTCCAGAAATGATCCTGTCTTAAACTCACAGTACTCCTAGGAAGGTTTCTAATAAATAAGCAAGCCTTTCACAGAGTGGGGAATTTTTGTTTGCCTTAGTTAA